AAAAAAGTACTCCAGAGTGTTGTTCAGCATGGGGGTGAGTAGAAAATGAAGGCTAATCATGTTTTGGGTGTACTATTCCTTTAAGCTCTCTGAATAGGGTGTGTAACATTGGTTGGGCTATTTGCTGTTCTATGAGCCCTAATGCAAGCCTGGTTGAGGCTGAGGACGAAAGAGGTGGTATTTGGCTGCAGGAGGAAGAGGCGCACGCTCAAAACAGATGGCATCAAGAGAAAATTATAATATGTGGAAACGGGATGTCTCAATACATCAGACAGGAAGATAAAGGTTTGACTAAAAAGGTTATTGCAATTAAGCAATCATTTTAGGCACACAGACAAATCAATTACAGAGCAGGATATGTGCAAAAGCCAACAGTTGGAAATGGCATCTATAAAGAACTAATTTCAATTAAAGCAAATATATTTCTTTAAGAAAAAAAAAGCCCTTCATTATCCTGGCATTTAGCAAATAAATAAAAGCTATTCCTGACTTAAAACAGGTTTTTATAAAAAGTGTTTTTTTTTTCAACTTACATTTGGTAAACAGTTCTGTTGGAGGAGATTCAGCACAAGTATGTCCATTTTTCAACTGCATATCTTTATATATGTCCCAGGAGCACAGAGGAAATGTGTGATAGGGGATAATCTTTTCTGAGACTGTATGGTGTATTTGTATTTATTTTCAAAAAAGTACTTCTGTTTCTTCCCGTTTATTTTAGAGAATAGGAGAGATTCTCCTTCCTGAATCTGACTCAATCTAGTCCTCAATCAATGTTTTCAATCTAGTTCACTATATATATCTTTTGTAGATTACAACGCTTACAATCAGAAAAACTACCTTGTTGGAGCGTTTATTTCTCTTAACCTTTAGAAAATCAGGGGACATGCATTATATACAAAGTTCAGTTATCAATACTATGGAGGTGGACATTTAAAGAATGGGAATATATTTGGTTTGAGGTGTTTTTTAGATAAGTAAATTATGTGATTTGTGTTTCCTTTTTGTATAAAATGTAACTGGAATTCATTGTAAATCAATGCTGACCATCACCACTGAGCTATTTGACAGCCATCTTTCAAGGCCACTTTAAGTGTATTGTAAATACTTAAATGAAACAGAATGTGGGTGGAGTATCACTTTAACATCCATCAAGTTAATTTCATTTTAACTACGTTGGCTTAAGTTGTGTGGAAAAACTGACTGTTTCCACCCTCAAACCAGGCACATTTTCATTGGTTGGTAAATTCTGGACAGGCTGGCAGTCTGCTTTTAACAAACCCAGACATTCAATTAAACTTCTGAGATGCATAAAACTGACATAAAGTTTTAAAGAAACATTTCAACCCAAACTGCTTTTTTTCCTCCCACTTTGAAATTAGGATGAAACAAGTAAATCATAGGGGACCCCTTCTGAGTTTTAGCGAGCATCTGGGTCACCTGTTCTTAATATGGAAAGGAAATCAGGGCATCTATCTAGCTATAGCTCACCACATGTCCTACTGTTAGAAAGTGAAAATGTTTGTTCTAACTTCTGGTTCTTTTTAATACAGATTCCCCACATCAAAAAAAACAACAGCAACATCTGTCTCTAAACAAAATGTTTTAGATTTACAGACAGTTTTCAGGTTATAGCTAAAATACCATTAAATACACAAATAGGAAGAATGAATTAGATTTAATTATATATTTATGTTTTCCTGTTAAAAGACACTATAGATTCTAGATATTTTTCTTTACTGTCGTTTTATCCCAAAGAAAGTGTACCTTTTTCTCTGGATGGACGAAGCACCAATTTGATATATTTTGTTGCAAGCTGTCTATCAGTGAGATTAATTGTTAAAGGACAGATAATTCCCACAGACAATGTTTTTTTGTTTATTGAAAATCAGACCCTAATGGCCGTGCTACTAGAACAGATCCACTTGTTTTTTAGAGACAAGTTTCAAAGGCATTTCTGGTTCACTTCAGCCACCAAGATAATTCTGCAACTTATTTCAATGGCTCTAAAATGGGTAAATTATCATTTACAACAATTCTGATGATAAAATTTGTGGAATTCATGAATGGTTGTCCTGTCAACAGAGTCACTCCCTAAATATTGAATCTCTGCAGCTCCCTCAGAGCCACCATGGGCCTCTTGCACTCTAAAGCCGGGCATACACTGTGTGATTTTTTCAATCGTTGCATGCAGGGTTTTGTCGTATAATGTGAGTTCACAGCTCACGATGTATGTACGCCATACTTCTGTGTTTTTATTTGAGAGGAAGAAGAACAAAAAGAAGAATCCTTTGTTTGTGCATGCCCACTTACTCCCGACCTGACAATTCCTGTTTGGGAGGTAGTCATGAGAGGCTGAGCTCCCCTCGTTACCCCCTGTACAGTGTATGCCCGGCTTTAAAAGAAATTGCTGCCCCAACATAAATTAATTGGTAACAACTATTTGAATTAAGTTTTCCTGACTTAATTAATTCTAATTGTAATCTAATAATTAAGTTGGATTACTTTGATTCAAGTGTTCATTTAAGTTGGTGCGTCATGAGTGTGGTACAATCTCCAATTAATGTTCTCCTTACCCTGCCTGTCAGTAATGTTTGACCACATGTTTTGCTAGGTTTCTAATGTGTTGAACTGTATTTACTTAAATGTTCATAGTTTGGAATATTGTTTCAGAACCAAATTCTGCTTTCTGACTAGTCTGATTTGCTTTTTTTTTGTTCTTCACAGCGCTGGATACAAATGCCTTTCTTTAAAACAACAATTCTACTAAACTAGAAAATGAAGCAGTGCTTACTGTCAGGCTATCAAATAATGTCCGACCAAAACACATGGTTAGAACAAAATATGGAAAACATCAAGGGTATTTATTGTTTTGTAAAACACCATATTTTTATCATGAAGATATTTTAGACTTATATTGAACCAGAAAGTCATAGAATAATGTCTTTTATTTGGAGATATTAATTTCTGAAGTAGAAATTATAATCAGCTAAACTCTGTAATAGCAGGTCTAGGCATCACTAAAATATGAGTTTTTCGCTAATTTTCATTATTCCCTTTGAGTCTTACACTCGCCTGTGTCACTGAGTGTATGTAAAGAGAATAAGCCAAAAAAAGAAATCCAGAAGTTTTTAGATCCTTTTATTTGAATTGTTACAGTACTACATGGGCATTGTGTTGACCTGAAAACTGAATTAAAAAGTTTTACAGAATTCCAGAGATGTTCTATTCAGTCAGATGAAACAGCTCTCAGGCGTTTTAAATGCAGTGTGTCTGAATCTCAACACACTGTCTAAAATGGCTTGATCAATAAATACAAGTACAAAAAAAAAAACAATTTTCATAATAAAAAAAAAGAAAAGAAAATCATGAAAAATTCCAAAGGCACACAACTTAACAAACCTTGGAAGTCCAGGATTACCCACCAACAAAATCAATTAAACATGAAAAAAAAAATGAAATAATGAGCAGTAACAAAAATAATACTTAAATAACATAATAATACTAAACTTATTATTATTGTCATAACAACATCCAGTCAAGTTTTCTTATGATTAGACTTTCTGCTAACTAACAAGTATGCACCAGTTATTTCCAGTTTGGCAGAGTTAAACTTTCATCATCAAATTATTTCTTTTTCAATATTTTGGGTCTCCCATGCTTTGGCTAATAAAAAATTATTAGATTATTTTTTTCCCACCTTTTCCAAACAGGTCTTTTTTTCATTTTACACTGTTTAAGTTACTCTGACATTTTGGTGTGTCAAAACAGAGAAATATTTAGTTACAACACCAATTTCATGCCATATTAGTGTGCCTGTTTTAGAGAAATTCTAATACTTCGAGGAAGGAAGTATTTGCTTTTCTGCCATACATAAAGCAATAAACATTTCTTACATTTTGGAAAATCAAAAACAGAAGCGTAATAAACCAAAATACTAACATAGTATAAGTTTTTCACTGTAAATCCAGTTGACATTAAAATGCAATACAAAAGGCAATTAAATACAATATTATAAGCAGTGGGTCTTTTATTAAACTCAGTACCCCAGGATCTGTCCTTCACACGAGCTGACTACTGAAAACTTTCAACATGGTTTTTATTTTGGGCTCACCAACTGCATGTTTTTACCATCTTTATCATTTGATACGATGTATGTTTGTTGATGTTTAAGAGTAATACGTTTTCTAAGGTTATAAAGAAAAAATGTCTCTAGACAAGTTGCATCAACAGCCTCCAGCATCTCCAACAATTATAAATGGGGGGGGTTACCCGAGTTAGAAGGACTCATTTAAGCCTATTAATCATTTCAAAGCCTCGTCATATCTTTGGTACAAAAAACTTTCCATCTACTCTTTTTAATCACTTTCTTTACACCCTCTATTCTACATTGCATGTCCATCAAAAATTGCTTCTAGCACTCTGCTCCCTCTTGCTTTCTACAAACACATCCTCCCTTATCTTCTGAATCGCATATCTCTTTTACACACTTCTCTTTTCCCTGCGGCTATAACTCTCCACGCACTGACTCCCTCTCACGCTCCAATAAAACAATGGCGGGCTAATTGTGCACTGTGGGCACAATGAACAAGTATACACAGCTGGGAGGCTAAGCACAGACTGCAGATTTCACCTGTGCTGAGTCGGGGTTAGGGGCGGGATGATTAGAGATCTCTAGAACAACATGTCTCCGGCGTTTCGTCTGAGGAATTTGCTGTGTCATCGGCAAGCAAAACAAAAAGCTTAACTTTGCTTTTTTGAAGAGCTGCGGGTGAAATATTAACCGGGCCCACGGTGGAAAACAGCTGAAACGTCTTTGGTAAAACATAAAATTAAAGTGAAAACACATCTCTCCAACAGAAGTACTATACAGGGACAGTTCAGGACTGTGACCGGTTTACTGCAAACAGATCAACCAGCTGAATGCTGAAATGGGAATCTTTTTCCTAATTGGTGAACACACCTTATCAACGTATCAAGATTCCACCAACTTCAAAACCTCTATCCATATCACCTTTGACACCACAATACACAGAATTGTCCCACTTGATGAGCGATTCCTTGTGATTCCAGTAAAAAAAATGTTCAGCAGAACCTACACTGCTGCATAAAACAAACAGTGAACTTAAACATTGAAAAAAGCAAGCTCAGCTCCGATCCATGTGGATGAAAAGAAAAGGAGAAAACCAGACAGTTTGATTTCACCTACCAAAGGTCAACCTTTAAACCCTAGTACAAGGAAAGTAAGTCAGGTATGCTCTGAAGGCCCTGGGTTTCTCCACATTCACAAACATTAAAAAAATAAAACTGGTCTCAGGGTGGGCTGGCTTTTCCTTCTCTTTTAAGGAAACAACATACATAATTTTTATTATGAATCAAAAAAGGCACTTCCTACATATTCTTCATACCATACGCATATAGGACATACACTTTTAAGAAAGTATATTTGCCTGTGTATTACAGACACAAGCATGGTTTTATGTGTTGAGTAATAATATGTTTATCACTGAGTAACATAATTATATATGTCAGTTTCACCCAAAGAGTTGGAGACGTGAAGATTCCAGTATCAACCAGCCACCCACCAGTTTGGCACCTACAACTAAAGCTTAAAAACATTAATAATAAATAAACATTGATATTTCTTTTTAAATTCAGAACAAGACCCTGGTTTGTTTCTTCTTTTTAAAGGAAGTAAAGATCACAAAAGCATGTGCTCTGTGTGAGTTTTAAGGTGCTTTTGTAAACTCAGACATTGGTGGTGTACAAAAAGGAGAGCCAACCAGTTTCTGGTTGCAGCGTTTGTGATTCTGACTTGCCTTCTTGCTAAATATGTAAACATCTTGAACACAGCAGAGTCTACAGCGGGCCAGGACAGCATACTGGGTGGCATTTTCTCTCTCCTGTGCCAGCTCAGAGTCTCTCTCCTGTTCACAAAGCCTAAAACTTGAATTTCCACTGAACAGAGAATTACACATAAACATGTGCATCTGTGTGTGCAGTTGTGTAAGCGCAAGCATATCTTTTGCAACCAAACTTTTGTCACGGCTTCCCAAAGGTGTATCCCAGTAACACACTGGTCGTTAATGCTGCACAAACACTTCATTGCACACACAGAGTCACAATCAAATCCCTCTGCTTCCTCTCCCTCTGCCACCAGCTTGTTAGGTAAGATTGCTGCTGATGTCCAGGGCTTGTTGGTACACCTGAGTCATGTCTTCCAAATCCCCCAGCAGGGAGAAGCTGCCATTGTCCCCTGGGGAGCCTTTCATTTTTGAACCACGGCTGAATTTGGGCCCCTGGATGGGTGGTGCAGTCTGCAGACCTTTGAAGTTGGCTAGTTGCAGCAGGTTTTCAGCCGAGACGCAAGCCCTGATGTTTGAGCGGTGATGTGGGCTGGAGGGATGCCACTCTGCTCCGCTAAGGGAACTCGGTGAAAGCGATAGGATGGAGCTGTCCTCCCCCACGATGCTGGAGGGCCGACTCTGACTGCGGGACAGACCGGAGTCGGTTGTAGAAGGAGGCTCGCCCAGTACCCCTGCCACTGCTGCTGCTGAGGGTGGCCCACTGTAGGTAGAGTACTTGCCGTTTCGCTTCAGAATGCCCTTTCTTCCCATCACCCGCTTAGGAGGAGGGGTGGCTAACAATGACATGCTTGCTCCTCCTAAAATCTCAGAGGATTCACTGCGCTCTGGGGAGGAATAGTACCCTGATTCCCGCTGTTGGTTGTTTTTCAATATGCCTTTCTTTGGTAGAGACGGTATCATCTTAGCTGGTGAGCCACCTCCTAACACTGGCTCCTCTTCCTCTCTGTCAGGGCTTAAAGCCTCCTCTCCACCTTCAGCTTGAGGCAGCGCTGCTTGACTCAGATCCACTTCCTCTTTACTGGTGGACCTTTGCTTCTCAGTGACTCTGGTCTTCAAAATGCCCTTGGGTCTCTTCAAACCTGGCTTGTCTTCTGCTGCCTCTTGGGATTGACCAGCCTCAACATTTTCCTTCTTCGATTTTTTAGGCCTCTGCCGCAGGATCTGGGGCACGGCTGCAGCCTTGGCCCCATTATTACGTGGCTCGGTGCGAATCTGCCAATCGATAAAACGGGCCCGCTGGGCTTCGCAGTCGCAGACGCTGTTCTTCCAGCCCCAGTTTACCCACCAGTGATTGGCTATGTCCTCTACTGTTGCTCGCCGCTCAGGGTTTACCATCAACATCCAGCGGATCAGTCCACGGGCATCTATGAGCAAGAAAATATTGAATCATAACATTTAAATGTTGGGATTAGAAACAAATATAAAATCTGTAGTAAAGATTTAAAAGTTCACAATTTTGTTTTAATTTCACTGGCCCTAATGAGTTCCGGGTATTTAAAAAAACATTTAAGCTGCGTCCGAACATCCGCCATGACCCCTCAATCACTATATAGAGCGGGCACTTTATAGTGAAATCAGTCAACTGACTGTTCAGAAAAATGATCACTACTTTTCACTCCCAGTAATTCTCTCTCCGCTCATAACAAATCCCATGATGCTTTGCGAAGAGAGCTCTCGCAAAGCAATTCTTGACATTTGGACACTAATCTTAAATGCTTATGGCAGACGTTCCAACACAGCCATAGTATCAGTGAAATATTTAAAATGAGAACATGTCCAAACAGGTTATGCAGACTGAAAGATGGCAAAAGAGAGCAAGACTTAAAGATATAGTGGAAGATTTTTGGCAAAATTTTAAAAGACCCGCTCTCTTGACTAAAAAAAAAAAAAAAAAGCACATGCACAACACTGCACCCGCTCCCGACAGCTTATGACGATAGCTGGCATATCCCATAATGCCATTTTCAAAGAACCGTGGGGAGAAAGGTGAACTTCAATGACTGAAACCGTAGCTCACCACAGATCTACGCCTGAAAGCCGGCATGCACAGAAAAAGATAGATAGCACATAGGACGGCCTTACATAAACATATCACCAGAATGATTGACAATTAGGAGGAACATTTATTTCGGTTATCTACCCCGAAAAAGAAAATCCTCTACTACACCTTTAAAGGACACAGCAGGAAGGCAGAAACCTTTTAACCTCTGTCATTCAACATGTTATATTTGGCAGTGTTGGCCTTTTTTCCTAAATTTGTGATCCAAAATTTGGTGTTGGTTCAACTAAATGTATGATCCTATGGTTTATACAATACCTGAAGACTGAGTGGGCTCTTTGTATTCACCATTGCTAATCTGGCGAATGAGCTTCTTGTGGTCTCCCCCATCAAAAGGCATGGTTCCATAGACCAGGGTATAAAGCAGCACTCCAAGAGCCCAGCTGTCCACCTGGTGAAGAGAAACACCTGGTCACAAACTTGTCCATTTAGTCAGCGACAATCCCTCGTGCTGTATAGATGTTGGATCAGGGCAAAAAAAGCATACAGAGGTTTAGGTGTATTATGCAAGCTAAATGCAGTCTTCAAAGCCTTGTTTTGATAAGTGATTCATGACATTAAAACGCAGAATAATAATAATAATAGCTCAGCTCTGCCCAACATCAGGTTGGAGCTTGAGATGTTTACAATGAGCTTGATAAACACTCAATTCATTTTCTTTTACACTGTCCTACAATAACATCACTGCTTAAAAGCTTTTGACACATTTCTTTTTTAGATTAAATGATGACAGTAATGCGGTGGGAAAATTATTGTTTCCTCACAGATTAGTTGGCCCCTCTCTCTCCAGCTCTGTCAGTCCAGAGCAAAACTTTTTAGAGCGCCAACCTAATGCAATGTGACATCTTAAGACATTACATAAGAGTGTATGTTTTGTGTTGTTAAGAGGGACAGGGCCAGAGAGCAAAGTGCTGGGAGCAAAAGAATAAAAGAGAGGAGGTATATGTGTTGCTCTGAGGATTAACTGAGGAAAAGTTCATGTCTCATTCATTTAACTGTCAAAAAAATTTGATCGAATCAGAGCTTTGATTTTGGATTGCAGGTAACACACATTTATATGCTTTTACTGGGAGTATCTTTGAATCTTTGAGACACAGGCGAGGAAGAGGAAATCAGATAAGACCAGTAAAAGAGCTGGTGTACTTCCTGTTAGGTTCTGGACCTGCTTCAAGAATGCTTCCCTCTTCGGTTGCCATTGGTCAAATGCTGAGGGCGAGACCGGGTACTTTTGTTTTGTTCTATTTTTGACGTCCTTGCTTGCTGCAATTTGCAGCCTTGCCCAAACTTTGTCATTTTGACAGTGGATGGACTTTCACATGCCTGAGTAAACCATGATTTCTTTTAACAGATTACTCACCTAAGAAGCATGTTTTGAAGCTTTTTTATGAAAAAGTATTTGGCCTGACCTTTTAAGGTATTGTGTAAAAATTTGGTTGTAACCTTTAAAACTTGAGCGAAGAGAACAAACACCCCGAACATTCAGTTTGGGCTGATATTATGGGCAAATATTTATATCTGTAAATATGGAAAGCTGATGCAGACGTACCAAAAAACTTGCAGCTTTAAGCAGTAATTGGTGAATCTAAAGGATGGTTCCACAAGTCATTGACTCAATTTGTTTTATACTTAATATGTCGGTCTGTAACATAAAACCTTATTTCATCATGTTTGATATTTTGACTGTAATAAGGCAAAATTTTTACAGATATAATGAGTATGACTACTTCTTTTTGGCACTAGTGACCCGTTTTTTTTTAGACAGTAGGCTGACAGGAAAGGAGAGGTTGAGAGACCAGCGGCAAAACCACCCCCCATGGACATGGACAATACACGCACCTTAGTTTAGTTTTGTCTTCAATTTAATGTTTCCTTTAACAATAACTATTGATGTTACTCATGCAACTCAGTGCCATATATATGTATATATGTATATATATATATATATATCAATACATATATACTTCTTTACCCTGTATATAGCTAGCTCTTAGTTATAGAAAAATATTTATTGTGCAGGAATAAGCTCTGTTACACTGGTAGCAAAGTCATCGACATTTCGTTGTCAAGATTCACCTTGTGTTTTTTGTGTAATGACAATAGAGGAAGTCTAAGAAGTCTAAGTCTCAAGGACCAAGGGTTGGATTCGAACCCAGGTTGGCCATGTTGAGGACTAAGGCCTCCATAGATGAGTCGTGTGCGCTAATCACTGCACCACTGAAGCACACCTCCCATGACTTGTTCTTTAGAAAATTGTATGTAACAGCTTAGCTCCAAAATCTTTAGCTCCAAAAGTGTGTGACTATTTCTGATTGATCATGTATCGTAACCACTGAGCCTCACCTCCGGGCCACGGTACGGTCTTCCATTCACAATCTCCGGTGAAGCATAAAGGGGGCTTCCACAGAAAGTTTGCAGCAGCTTGTCCTTATGGTAGAGGTTGGATAACCCAAAATCAGCAATCTGTGGACACATAGATTTAGGATTTAAATGGTCCTTATGTGATGGATAAACCCTTTTTGATGTCTTTGATGTATACACTAGGGAGCGACTCACCTTAATATTACAGTTTTCATCCAGTAGCACATTTTCCAGTTTCAGATCTCTGTGCACCACTCCATTCTAAAATTCAAAGACAGCATCAAACTGAGTGATGCATCAGCAAATGTATTATTCATAAACAGCCCATTGTGTTGCAGAATGATTTACTCTTCATAACACAGCTTGTGACTCTCTGAGGAAATCAAGTCAGCCTGTTGGTCTAGTCCAATTTTAATTGCTCCTGTTTTCTCTGGGGTCCTTCTGTTGACATCTGCTGTGATTTCCGTTTTAAATCAATTCACATGTGTCACATAAATATAAGCCTGTAATTATGGGCCCTGTGCAAATGATGTTCTCACAGCACTTAGAGAACCTGGTATTAAAATAACAGCCTTGATAATGGCTTGGTTTAGGAAAACATCTCAGAATTAACATGTGGTACCCAGAGAACAGCTCAGATGTGGAGGGATGACTTCATCCGTCAACCGCCCCCCGCCAGCCCGCGCCGGCATCTCTCATTGGTTGTTGTTTGGCATGTCGTTTGTGTTCACATGGCTCTGATTGGTTGATATGGGGGAGAAATGATTGCTTGCTTGTCATGACAGTGACTCACACCATCCCACCCGGCAGGAGGCTGCAGTCGCTGGTGATGATTCATCATTGATGGCTGTCTGGGACTCTTCTATCTGAGTACAATGACGTCAGCCCCTATCTGCAGCTGGGATGAGCATGACAGCCCTTGGTTGGCGGGGGGGGGGGGATTCAAACAAGCCCTGTGACCTAAGGGGGTTTTCACTGCTGTTGTTGATGTGTGAAGCATGGGCTAAAATGGGCGTGCCTGGTGTTAAATCTCCTGGAGAAAGACTCCGGGGATATCCTGGGACATCCATCAGAGTGTGAGCTCAGAATGAATGTTTGGCTCATAAAAGTAGAGTAACTCTGAATTAAGCAGCCCATTTTTTTTTTTTACTTAACTATAACAGATGATTCTTAAAAACCAATGCACCAAGGAAATGAAGCTACAGATTATCTGACTACATGGCTGGAAAGCAGAGTCTGTATGGTATATGAAGAGTTGTGCATTGTTCTGGTTTAGCCGGTGTACTTCTCTCACCTTATGGCAGTGATGCACAGCAGAGACGATTTGTCTGAAGAAGTGTCGTGTCTCCCGCTCACTCAGGCGCCGACGCTCGCTGATGTAGTCATACAGCTCCCCTTTACTTGCATACTCCATCACAATCACAATCTTGTCCTTGTTCTCAAACACTGAAAGATAAATAAGGCAGGCGCAAACCTTTAGGGTTCAAACAGGTTGAAATAATCAAGCTGAAAACATACACACAAAAAGGGATTTGGGAGTTAGAACAGTAAAGTGAACCATCATGTTAGCCCCATTTTACTTTTGGAGCAGGATTTTAAATTACAGAGCTGCACATAACATCTTGACAACATTCCAGAGGTTACATCATCTGAACCCCACCTCACGTGCCTGGCTTCTTGCAAAACTGCAGGAGGAGGCTGTTAATTAAAAAGGCTTGATATTTATGGAAGAGAAAAAGTAGAAAACAACCACACAAAATGGACAATTGAACCTAGCATGACACTTTTGAACATTTGAAGTTAAAATCTGGCTGCTATTAATTAAATAATACCTGGATTGCTGCCATTTTTCCAAAACACACTCCAATATTCTAACAGGCATTTCCTGCTCCATAAATTATAATAATGGTATGCAAAGACTTCTTTTTTCTCCTTTCTATTCCTTCTTTATTCAATAAAAAAACCTTTTTGGGAAAACTGAAGAGTACTTTTCCAGTGTTGTGCAATCCAATCAGTTTAACTTCTACACATGCTGTGACATTTATGCTTATATAATCTAAAAATTGTCCTAATGCAAAACAGAGAGCAAATAACAGTGTAAAAATATACCATTAAGTTAAGCTGTGATAAAACTTGGAATTTAAAGAAACAGACAATGAAAATAGGCCCCAGCAAATCATCTCTGCGATTTAATCATGGAAGGAAGCCTTCACATGTGACATACAAGATACAAACAGTTTGAAGAGTTTTTATAATAATAAATTGGTCAGAGGTTTTTAAACCATTATCTGTTCTCCCTGTAGGTAATATTATTTTATCAGGCCATTTAAAAATTTTAGGGCACAATATAAGTATGTATGATTTGAGCTGATAAATATGGATATCAGTCAATTGTCAAAGCTTCATTATAGGTATCATAGCAGAGACGAAAAGGTTGCATTGGAACATCCCTGTCATAATAAACAAATTCACAAGCTTATATGGTAAAATCATTACATTTTCAATGTCGCAATATTCCTGCATGAAATCACAAGGGATAATTTTACATCCTTAAAGCTAGTCTAGCTCTATTACAGCCTAATTAAGTTGCGGCCTAGTGGTTAGGGCATAGAGCTTGGAACCATGATGTTCTGAATTCAAGCCCCATTCCCACAGATTGCCACTCTGGGTCCCTGAGCAAAGACACTTAATGTAATGACAATAAAAAGCTGGAAAAAGAAAAGAAAAGAAAAAAAAAATAGGGTCAATGTGGCCTAAACTAAAATTTTTAATAAAAAGCAAAAAGCACTTATTGAGAATTTTTGTAGGTGCAGCCTGTTCCAACAATTGTATATCATTAAACCTAATTGCATGTCCTACTTTGGTTTATCAGTGTAAGATCCCATCTTGGAAACGTAATTTGTGTGAAAAAACATGACAGTGGTTAGGTAAGGATAAGAGCAGAAAAACAAGGAGGACGTGACAGCAGCACAGTAAGTCATGTTGCCGTGTATTGTGCTTGTTGATTTTCCCACACAGCAGGGTCACCAAGGGTGAAGGCCTCTACTTTCTACACCCTTGAGTGAGCACCTTCATGGGCTGTCCCCCTCTTTTTTCCCTCCCAGGGTCCTTTTAAAGATATAATCCTCTACAAAAACACACAGTTGCTGAGTGATGTTAATGCTCCCTGATTGTAAATGTCTGGCTGCTTGGGAAATAGCAGACAGCTAAGCCATACCATTCTGGAGGGCAAAGACGGTCCAGCTTTCTCTTTGGTGGACAGAGTGGGGACCTGGGGTGACATTCCCACTGACCCTTGATGGGCTTATGTTTGGCTGAGCCAATTCTCAGCTTGCACTCCCATTTACCTTTAACCCCTGGTGGTGAAGTAATTACCTGGCTTACTTAAGTCAGGTTTGTTAGGGTCTGCTGGAAATGCCAGCCATCATTACAGGTTCTTGGTCAATTACTGTGCTTTGTTCATATGTCAGACCCTTAAATCTGATTAATTCGCACCTGTTATCTACCGTATTTTCACGACCATAAGGCGCACCGTACTAAAAGGCGCAGTCTCAGTTTTGTGGTATTTGAATGAGGAGCTGAAAGACTTTTCTTGAAAATGTTCAAATAGATAAATGTGCCCAGATAAAATGTCATGGAGATAAACAAACAATCAATGGAACCTATAGGCTAGATGAAGGGTTTCTCAGACACGCATGTAAAAACAAAATAAAAAATAAAATCTGATTTAAATTTAAATGTCTTTAAAGCATCTTTTTTCATGTCCACTTTGTTCACAGTGACATAATTTCTCTGCAAACTTTGGCCATAACATAGGAAGTACTGTAATACTTTCAATAAAGAAAAAAAAAATCAGTTTTAGATTCTTAAAATACTTTAGCTTATATTTACTGCACTGTATTACTTAACACTGTATAAATATTCCCATTCACACAGCAACTGCTCTCACGCACAAATTCCCTAATCATTGTTCTTATAAAAATGGCTAAAACTGGTCTTGGCCAGTAAAAACAACGAAAAAAGAAAAATGAGTCAGAAAACACTCACTGTTAAAACATAAAATTCTACTGCTGTGTCACCCCGATATTGTAATCCTTACATCGGTGTAATTATTGCAAAACAATAAGCCATGTCAGCATTACAAAATTTAGTTTTTACTTGTGCAAGAGCCTTTAAGATTATTCTTAAATGCCCATTATTGTTGAGAAGTGTAGAAAATATGCACATAGAGAACATCATCTGTTGTAAAGATAAACGGAATATCTCAATCTCTATGTTAGGACATATATTTCTAACACCAATCTCACTTTTTTTAAATGCAAAGTTGTAACGCTTGCTCCTAAGCGCCCTATTCAGCATGCTGACGAATGCAAAATATAAGGGAGTGGTAAAAATCCATCTTCACGCACACATCTGGTTCAGCTTTGCTTCACACAAGGCAGTTAGCAGGGGCTGTTGTAAGAGGGTGTTGCCGGGTACACAAATCTATGGGCCTCCTAGACATCTGTAGCAAGCAAGCATATCCTGGTTGGTTGCCAGGCCACAACATTATAAGCTGACTTTGAGGAGAAACACCAGCGTCTGGTCAAGACTGCTAGTAGAGATGGTTGCTTATGATGAGGATAATACTAACAAAAAGCCTTGTAGGACCTCCTCAGGGTTTAAAGGCCTCCTTTACTTTTAAACATTCTCCCAAAAGATGCATAAAACCCAGCTGCCATTAATGGCTTACTGGCACGTTTCCATTACAAATTGTGTTTGTTTACACACGCATTAGTGATAATGATCCAGGAACTTTGTACTTGAACGAAGGACAGTGGATAAGTCTGACTGGGCAATAACAACTAACCTTTGCTTCTGGTGATGTGGCTATTTTCTCAGAATCGGCAGAGAAAATGTTAGGGCCGTGTCACGCCTTGCCAAATTAGCCGGCGTATGCCCAGCATCCCAGTATCTTCTAAAACGCTGGCATACGCTTAACATTCTATGTATTTTTTTTTCAATATTGGGTACGGTATATGCATACTGTATTCATAACTATTCCAGAACTTATGTTCAACGACAGCCTAACCCAGGCATCCCCAAACTCCGTCCTCAAGGCCCCCTGTCCTGCAGATTTTAGAGGTTTCTCTGCTTCAGCACAGCTGGTTATAATGATTGCAGTAGACCAAAAGCCTGTTAATCAGCTTTCAATTAAAATCAGCTGTGCTGGAGCAAGGAAACCTCTAAACCCTGCAGGACAGGGGGCCTTGAGGACCGAGTTTGGGGATGCCTGGCCTAACCTATGCATAACACGGCAGCCTAATGCACATGAAATGATCAGTTAAAGCATCAGTTAAAGCTGCTCTTCTCAGGCACATTGTTGCTGAAGGGAGCATCGCTGCGACCGGAGGAGCCCAGTCTACATAAAAATATTCCTTTGATTGCGGTATTAACTTGACTGCTGTTTACCGCCCGCCCAATAAAAAAGAATGAATAAATAGAAAAAAGAAAAAGAAAGAAGGTTTGCAGTCACAGCAGATTCACCATCATGTCTGCTAGGAAGTTTGTTGGGCGTGGGCGTGAACGCAAGGAGGATCCCACACACTCATCTTCTCCATATGATGGGGATGCAGTCTGTAGGTCAAGGTCGGCTTTCTATCACCTGAAGAACATTTCCAGGATTAAAGGACTAATGTCTCAGCATGATCTGGAAAAACTAATCCATGCGTTTATTTTTAATCGAATTGATTACTGCAACGGTGTTTTCACAGGTCTGCCTAAAAAGTGGATCAGAAAGCAGCAGCTGATCCAGAACGCTGCTG